ATAATAATAATAATAATAATAATAATAATAATAATAATAATAATAATAATAATAATAATAATAATAATAATAATAATAATAATAATAATAATAATAATAATAATAATAATAATAATAATTATTATTATTATTATTATTATTATTATTATTATTATTATTATTATTATTATTAAAAAAAAAAAAAAAAAAAAAAAAAACGCTTACCTCCCAAAGACGAAGCTTACAGTAATTGACAGCAAAATACGGCCTAATAAACGGGCTTTCCTTGTCGCAAACAGGTGGGGAAAGTGGCTCGATCTCACGAATGAGACAACCTTGGTTAACAAGCAAGTTACGGTGGTCTTGTGGCACGTCGGGCAAAACAGCGACCACTAACGGATAAGCTGATTTGACCTTCCGTAAACCCTTAGCCAAACACACCACACCTTTCACATAGTCGCCATCACCTGCCAAGAACGTAAGATAAGCACGGCTAACCGCATTCTCTAGGTCAACAGCAGCACCTACTACCTCAACTGCATTTCTTGTACATGGAATGAAAAGCTCGGGTGCCATTTGGAATAAAACGATTTTTTTTTCGGCAAGAATAATTTGTGCGAAGCAAATAGAAGAGTTATAACTGAAATGAAGTTTGCTTCTTCTCATGTACTGAATTTATAGAGAATTGCAGATAGAATTTGATGAGAGAGTAGACGACATATCAACCGCTTAAAAACGGAATTCACGGAGTTGCTTTTTTATCCCAATAGGGACAAAGTAGGAAACCCTTTTCACACCATGCAATGACTTCAACATGTCTCTTTTTTCGTACCTAATTGGTAACCGTTTGTGCCACGTTTCGATTTTTTTTGGCGACTTTCGGTCGCATTCAAGGGAAAAGTGCTGAAATAAAAGCCTTATTTTTTTCCGCATAAAGAACTGATATTACTGACTTCTTGGATTTTGCTCGTACAAACTATTGTTTAAAGCTCTCATGTGGTAAGAAGTAATTGCATTACATCCGTTACAACTCGATGAATTCATTGCTTTTACTTAGCAACAAAGAAGGAAAAGTGACTGCTAAATACACGCCACCATTTCAGAAACTACAACACAACTTCCGACGCTATTTAGTGATTACTGTCGAGGGCCTAAACTAAAATCATGTACACTTCCATAGGCAAAGTATATTCTGTCTAAAATCTAATATACAGTAGAACCTCGATAAATTAATAACATCGTTTAAATAATAGTTTCTCTCGGTCCCGACTCGGTGAAAACGTGTTAAATTATTAACTCGATAATTTAATAATTTGCTAAATTAATAGAATTTCCCTAGTCCCGACTGTATTAATTTATAGAGGTTTAACTGTATGTTACAAGTAAATATTAGAGGATACATATATAAAATGACTCTAGGCCTCGTTTCACCAGATAACTGTAATCCATCTTACTCTCTCGGAATAGAAATAGTATTTGCACACTGCCCAATATAACATTCACCTTGACCGCTAAAATGAATAGAAAACGACAATGCACTAATAAATAATAATTTTCGTAAGTTTTTGCCAAACAATTTATTAAAGTGTACAGTTCAACCTTAATATATTATGTTGTTAGTCCCGTTAAATCTTCATAATTCCTAAAGGGTCGATTTGTAAAATCGAGGACGAACGGTGAGCGTTACTTTGTGTAATTTCAAAACTAAGTTGTAAGTCAAACTTACATACACCAGCAGCTTCAGATTCTGAAAAAAAAAACAACTAAAACCATGATAGGAGCCTATGATTTAATTCGAAACTCGTAAAAAGCTTCATTTGCTTAGTGTGAATTAATTCCTTCTAATTTGGATTATTAAATTAAGATCTCACCCAAAATTCAACAAATTATATATATCTCCAAATAAAAACAACAAATTGGTGATTTTATTTATATCTCCAATTATTTAACAGCATCTACATCGGAGGTAAGAACATTATTCAAATTTTATGAGATTAAGAAAAAGTAATAACATGCAGTGTGAGGATTAGGGCTGAGAATTGGGAATTTGGGGGAAAATGGTGGAACGATGTCGTTTAGAAGAAATCACGTTTACTAATAAAAACGTCTTTTATTTATTTAGCAACTTTCAATTGGAGCTGATCACGTGAGGGGAGCGTGGCATCTGGAGTATTGATCAAGAAACTTTGCTGGAAGGGGAAGGCAAGGGCTTTATAAGGGGAAAGCTATCAAGAAGATACCTAAGTTTGGACTAGTAGCTGTAGCTAGGTAGTGTAGTAGTAGACTACCCTAGTTTTAATGTTTAATGAAGGCAAGACTGCCATATCTAAATTTCTATTTCTGTAAGGATTTGATGCCCCTTTTGAGGCTTGAATGCAGATTTTCTTGTTTTAATTTTCAATAATTTCGTTTACCCTAGCAATACATAACATTTGGTATCCAGAGCAAAGGTTCTGGGCATTACACATATCTTATCTTCACTCAAAATCACTCAAACACAGCACCACAAACAAGCACTACACAGGCACAAAATGAGCAGAAACAGAGATGAATCCACAGATCTACCACAAGATAACACAGATCCATTCAGAGAAGAGCAGAGAGAAGTTAACCACAAACACCAGGCTGAGATGAGAGCCTTAAGGGAAGAAATGACAAACATGAGTTTTAACATGGAACAGGTGAGAAAAATGATGGAAGACATGGCCAAAAACAAAGGAAAGTAACCTGCATATGCCTTTGGGTCTTCTTCACAACAAGACAGACTCTATACACCCCATCAGGAACCTCTTGTTCTTCCTGGTTACACCCCTGAAAGAGCTACTGAACCCAACAACAGAAGGAACCCTATGATGCAGAATATAAATGAAGGCAACAACCCATTGATGGCAGAAAATGCTCCCCAGAGAGTCAATGAATTCCAGAACTACAACAATGGAAGAGCACAGAGAGGGGATTTCCCTAGATTCAATGGAGACAACCCTAGATCCTGGATCAGAAGATGCAACAGGTATTTTGTCCTAAATCCTATGCCTGATGTAGATAGGGTTATTATGGCTGCCATGAATCTTGAAGATAAGGCTGAGTATTGGTATATGGATTATGTGGAAGGGAGAGAATTTGTGGGTTGGAATGTTTTTTCCAACATGGTTTTGGAAAGGTTCTTAGATGAGGAAGGAATAGATATAGTGGAGCAGTTCCACAAGCTAAGGCAAGAGGGTACAGTAGAAGAATATAGGCTTAAGTTTGAGGAACTTAAGGCCTTTATGGCTCAAGCACACAGAAATCTGGGAGAGGATTACTACATAAGAGCATTCTTGGGAGGATTGAGGGATGATCTTAAGAGCTTGGTCAAGGTTCTCAGACCAATGTCACTAGCACAAGCCATACAAATAGCCAAGATGTATGAGAACACCTTGGAGCACCTTAAGCTGGGATTTAAATCCACAGTCAGACAAGCAACACACCTTGGAGCACCTTAGGCTTCAGATTCTGAAAAAAAAAACAACTAAAACCATGATAGGAGCCTATGATTTAATTCGAAACTCGTAAAAAGCTTCATTTGCTTAGTGTGAATTAATTCCTTCTAATTTGGATTATTGAATTAAGATCTCACACAAAATTCAACAAATTATATATATCTCCAAATAAAAACAACAAATTGGTGATTTTATTTATATCTCCAATTATTTAACAGCATCTTCAACAGAGGTAAAAACATTATTCAAATTTTATGAAATTAAGAAAAATAATAATAACATGCAGTAAAAAAATTTACAATAAATTCTGAAGAAACGAAGTAAAATGAGAAAATTAAACTAGAGAGAGAAAGTACCAGCAATCGTCAGAGCCAACTTCATCCTCACAATTTTCGAATATAAGCTTATTTATTCTCAGCATTTGCTACATATATAAATACGCCATTGCAGTTGAGTTGGAAGATATCACAGTCAAATCGAATCGAATTGGTTGGATATCGATCGCCGGCGATTAAATCTCTGCCGGCACTGCACAGTCCGGCGAAGGGGTGCGGCGAGGTTTTACCACCAAAATTGGGTAAAATTCATTTTCATCCTGAACTTTTCACTTCATCTTCAAATTAATAATAAGATTTGACCGAATTGCCCTTGCATCAATAAATAAAAACAAAATCATCCTCCAATTATTTGCAATTAAAGTTCAACTCATTTTTTTCTTCAATAAATAAGTGCATCATCATATGGTTAATTAACATTATTCCCCAATTTTCTTGTTACAAAAAAAGTAAAAAATAAAATAACTATTACTATAAAAGTTGATTAATTCAAATGAATTGATAGAGCCTGCTGTCACTAATTTTTTTAATTAGTATACTAAAATTGATGAAGTAGTTGACCAAATTGGTCATATTTAGAGTGTAAATCTGGTGGGTCGTATTAGAATTAAAAAATTTGAAAAAAAAATTCACTTTTTCGCTAGTAAAAAGTAATTCCAATTCGGTCCCAATAAGATCAAAAACATATATTGAAATAAGAATATTGTTCATATAATAAAAATTTTCGGGTCGAAATCTGCAAAATTTGGAATTTTCAAACATCTAGTCACCTATAAACACATTATAATTTTAAGGCAAAATGAGTTTTTTAGTCCTGTTAGTTTGCTAGTTGAGAGTTTTAGTCCACTATATTTTAAAATCAGAATTTTGGTCCTGTAAGTTACAATAGTTGGGAATTTTGGTCATGTGACTTGCTATAGCAGGTAATGTGATGGTTGTTGAATGAGTTGGCATTTAATTTTTAAAAATAAATAGATTAAAAATAAATTAGGTGATGTGGCTAATGAGTTGGATGGTTTTTGAGAGAAGTTTGATTCTCGATGTCAAAGACACCAAAATAATAGGAAATATTTATATATTTATTTTTTGTTCTATTTCTGCAATAAAGGACCTCATATTGATTAAAATATACCATTATATTTTTTATGACGAAAATTAATATTTCTTAGTTTTTATTTGGTAAAAATAGAATTAAATTCATAGTTATTAAAATATTTCACTACAAATCTATACATAGCGATAACAATGAAATTGAACCAACAATCTAATTCAACAAAAATACGAGAAAAAAACCTTATATTAAAACTTGTTGTAAAGTTAAATGATATGCACAGTTATAATTAGTATAAAAAACAAAAAACACATTTACGAATTAACAAAAATAATAAAATAATTTAAAATTCTATTAAATTAAATGTACCAAAAAGGCGATCTAGAGCCTCCAAACATAAAATACCTTATCATAGTAAGAGTAACAAATACACATAACGAGTATAAAATATAGTTAATTCCTATTTTTATCATTGAAAACTATGAAATATTAATTAAAAAAATAGTTACGACAAATATGCTTATTTCATTCATCAAATAAAATAATAATTTAATGGTATATTTTATTTCCCTCCAAAATCTTCCAACTTATCAGCCACATCATCTAGTTTATTTTTAATTTATATTTTTTTATAAATTAAATGCAACTCTTTCAACTAACCATTGCCTAACCTATTATTGCAGGTCATATGACCAAATTCTCAGCTTTTGAAACTTACATAACTAAAATTCTGATTTTGAAACATGATGGACTAAAACTCCTAACTAGCAAACATACAGGACTAAAAAACTCATTTTGCCTAATTTTAATATTGATATTATACGTGTATTTTTTTTTGAAGGGGGGATTGATTTCGAAAAGAAAAAAAATCACAAATTGAATTTGGATCGAAAACCTGAATTTCACACGTATTCTAATCATGTTCCAAAAGATTAAAAACAAATGGAAATCCAAACTTTCAATATTCAGAATGAAATATATTGTTCCGGCCATATTCGAAAATAATCGGATCACAAATCATTCCAATTCCCCTCCCCTAGTATCATCATACATCAATCCTAGCTTCTTTCGAATTTATAATTACCTTCATCCCCACCCCTAGAGTTTCAAATTCTTTTTATTCTCTCCCCAAAATAAAAATTATCTTCCTGAAATATTTTTAAAAACTTTCCCCAAAAAAATTCAAATATTTCTCTCTCTAATAAACATGATTTGACCGCTACATGAAAATTGTCTTCACTAAAATACAAATGAAAGTCA